GCACAGCATGGCCACGTCTCCATGTCTCATCTCCCCAAAAAATGTCTGGATATTGCCTCCCAACCCTGGTGTCCCCAGGGAGGCGTTGCTCCCACTGCCTTGGCAGCTCGCAAGCGATGGGAGGAACAATTTGGAATCATCTGGTTTTCAGCAAGGAGGGGAGGAAGCTGCCGGCTGTTTCTTTTGTGTGCTGTATCCGGCGTGGGTATCGACACCGCGCAGAAGGCAGCTGGCTGGGGTGAGAGGCTCTCACGTGGCTCCAGCCGGGTCCAGTGCCAGCGAGGTCAGCCGGGGCACAGAGGGGAGCTGGGGGAAAAAAAGCCCCCCCCCCAGGGGGCTGGGGGCTCTGGGGAGCAGCCCCTGCACAGTGCCGTGGGGTTGGACGTTTGCTTCCAAACCAGTGTTTGCCACGGAGCTGGAGCCTGCCGGCCCTGAGGTCTCCGGGCATGGAAAGGTTTGGGCTTTAAAGGTCACTGAGTCCAACCCCCCTGCCATGAGCAGGGACGTATTCAACTAGATCGGGTTGCTCAGAGCCCCGTCCAACATGGACCTGGATGTTTCCGGGCATCCCTTGGGTGGAGCTGGTGGTTGTTCCCCTTTGGCACCACCATCCCCCCTTCCCATCCCCGTTCTGCCACCGAAGCACTCGGTGTCCAGCATCACGCTCAGGCAATCCCGGCCCCCCCAAGGACGCCCGACGGGCCCAGGTGCATGTGGGCTGGGGGTCAATGTCTGGGTGGTGGAGAGCTTTCTCTGAAGGCTATCGGTAAATTAGAGGGAAAAGCAGAGCATCTCTGGAAGCCATCCCATTTTCAGTCCCAGCAGGGCGACGTGGTTCTCCACGACCATGGAGGTGCTTTGGATGAGACTGCCGGGTCCCTGCTCCCCTCCTCGCAGCAAAAGAGAGGGACATGCTAGAAATGGCCATAAGGAGAGTGGAAAATGATGTTCAGCTGAGTTCCTCGTCATCTTTTCCCTTCGTAGCTAATCAGCTCATAGATGGTGAGCCTGTAAAGATCATTAAATTAATTTCTTTCCTTGCTGTGACTTAATTGTTTCCATTTGTATTGTACAGTGCTCACACTGGGGATGTATTTTTGCTTGCCTATATTTAGTTTGAGCTCTACCATGATATCAAAATATATAAAATAAGGCTGGCTCTTGGGCGCTTCATGGAACTGAGATCCTGCAGATGATTTTCTGTTGGTTTTGTGCAGTCTGGTACTTTGGCAGAGTGATGCTGGGCACTGGGGGATGCACAAGGGCAGCGTCAAACCATCCACGGTCCCTCGGGGTCCACGTGAGCGAAGGATCTGCACCGGGGGTCACCCCATGGGAGCTGCTCCTCCCTGGGGAGATGGTTCAAGGGGAAAAGAGGAAATATATATAGGCAAAGGAATGAAAATAAACATTCTGGGGATGTAGTTAACCACCCTGGGCTGCAGGGATGGGAACAAGAGGGAAAGGGGGATGTGGAGGGAGGCAGGGGGAAGGAAAGCAGCAAAGCACGTGCTTCCTCGCTGCTGAGCTGCAGCACAGCCCCAAAATAATGCACCCTGTCCCCAAATCACACTGTGGTGAGCTCCATATCCCGAGGGATCCCGCAGGCAGGAGGAGGCAGGCGCTTCCCAAAGCCACCCTGTTCCTTAGCAGAAAATCTCCCACATTTATTATGTTGAAGCCAAGAAAGTTCACCTCCCTCTGGGAAGCAGCAAGAGTCAGAGTGAAATTCCTCTCTGCGAGAGCGGTTCCAGAGATGTCTGGGAAAAAAAAAAACCTCAGTGAAAATTGTCACAAAATGGTATTACGGCTCTTTTTGTTTGCAGCTGGGCCTGGCAGCGATACAATGGGTGTTCATGCTGGCTCTGGGTGATGAGCACTGAGCACTCGGGAACACAAATCAGGGCAATTCCTGCCAAAAATACCCACCCTGCCATGTGTGGTGAGCTGGGGCCTGGGACCTCCTGGAGGGGATCACTGATCTGAAAAAACACCTCAGAAATGATGGATTTCATGGATGTGCAGTTGCCACAGGCTGAGGGCTCTCCTCCCCTGCCTGGTGGCTGTTCGGGGTCAGGCTGTCTGTCAGAGCATCCCTGCTGCCTCGTGCCAGGAGAGCACCGCGGCCTTGGGGACATGGACAGGAGCAAACACAGGTAAAGGTTTAACTCGAGTTTATTTATACGTAGAGGTAACTGCATTCTGAGTTTAAAAAAAGGCAGATAAACATTTGAGATGATGAATGCTTCAGACTGAAAACATGAAGAAAGGGAAGAAAACGGGGCAGACGGCAAATTTCAGTGGAAAACAGAGGGCAGAGACTGTTCTCCCCTCCCTGCAAGGCAGTGTGCGTTACCAGCAACAGCTTTACAACAGGAGAGAAGGGAAAAGGCAGCTCAAGAGAGACTTCATCATGAGGTGGATTTACTTACAAGCAACCAAAGTAGTCCAGGATTAACTTCTGCTTAGTAACAAAGAAGAAAATTAATTAGCTAACTAGGGAGATTTGCTTTTAGTGATGGCGAGTAGATCTGTTTTTATGGTGGTGTGCTAAGCACCAGCTCAACTGGTGATGGCATCCAGGTCCACCAAAGCCTACAGAGAGCATCCACTGGGTCCTGATGCAGCACAGCCTCATGAAATAGCACTTCCCGGTACGTTGTGACTTAATGGCAGCGTAAAGATGTTGGAAAAGTGGGGACTCAGCCCTCCTTTCCTCTCTGTCAGCAGCAGAGGGATTTAAGAAAAAAAAAAAAAAACAACAAACAATCCTGTCCTGTGTCTGATTTGAGGTGATGCTGGACAGACCCCGCAGGTGCCCCGTGGCAGGGCCCACGGTGCCAGCCAACTCCAGCAGCTAAATCACAGCCTGGCTTTACACGGGAGTAGTCTGAGCAGTTGAAAGTTGAACACGGGGGAAAGTGGAGAGCAGATGCTTGCCCGAAAGGCATCTGTCAGTAAAGTCACCCCACGAAACTGTGGGACAACATGAATGCATCCTGGGATGGGAATCTGTTGTGATCTTCCCGGGATAACCTGATCTGCCCTGCTGTGCCTGAGCATCGCGTGTGCCGACGCACGGTGCATGTCAATGGGCTGCACTTCCCCGTTAGCTCAAACTTAATTAGAAAAAAATAAAGAGCCATATGGTAATTTGGAATACAGGCAAAACAATGTCTGTGTGTTTGGGTCTGGTATACTCAAATATTTTCCTAGAGCATTAATTTTTAATTCTTACATCAGACCCACATAAGCAAACATAAATAGGATTTTATATTTTACATAATCCATCCAGCTTGTGTTTGTTGTTACATATACTGAATAATCACTGCCTGCCACTACGTACAGAAGAGCTAATAATAAATATTAGGACACAAACTTACAAGTTAAATGAGATACAGTTAAGTAGTTGATTAAAAGGACAACCGTAATCTAAGGTTACAAAAGACTAAGTATTGCTTTTCTAATGTGCTTTTCTCCTTTGTTTCGGTGGCTCACCTGCCAAATCTATACCAGGATGAGCATGTAGGAGAGTCATTTGTGGCAATGTGCATAGATTAGGGGGTGTAAGCGGGGTTAATGAGGAGAATTAGACATGGGGAATGTGTGCAGATAACTGACAGGGTCCATCCCCTGTACGGATGGAAACCCGCCACACCGGCCCCGGCGCCGGGGCGAGCAGCGGGGCTGTAACGAGACGGAGCTGTTTGTTCCCATCTCCTCGTCCTGGGTTCGTCTCCCCCTCGGTCAGGCAGAGAGGGATGGGCTCTGCTGGCCGTGGGCTCGCAGGAGCGCGGCGATGTCCCCCCGGGCAGCACGCTGGGCCAGCGACAGGGCCGAGTTACCGCCCTGCGGGGAGGGAGGGGGCCAAGACGTTACCGCCCGAATCCCTGCACCCCCCGGCTCCAGCCTCCCCCTCTGAGCCCCACGCCCCTGAGGGAGGCTGAGTGCAACCTGCCCGCTGATGAGTTTTGCTCAGCTCTCCAGCAAGAAGAGAGCCAGCCCGGGCAGCTTCGAACCCAACTACTGACCCCCAAACCGCCTTCCCTGCAGGTCCTCCCTCCTCCAAAATGAGCCACCGTCCTGCAAACCTCCCCCATAGTATTTTGGGGCCTCACTTCAACCACACGTAACATATCCTGGCCGTGCCTTCTCCTGGTCCTGGTGCTGTCCCACACGTCTTAGACAAACTTGTAGTTTAATCAGAAAATAATGGCGTAACTAAACGCAGCCACGTGGCCTGTTGCCTCGAGCCCGTGCGGGGGAGATTCCCACTGCCCGGCCGTGCTGCTCCCAGCCCTGGCCCACGTGTCCTCCCAGAGAGGCATCCATTCTCAGGGGAGAGTTAATTGCTGCTAATTTCTTGGAGCCGAAGCTCTGTTGATTCCACATCTCCAGGATTTCATCTTTTTTTTTTAGGTTTACACCAGGTTAGGCTCTTCCCCACCATGCTCCTGACCAGACTACAGCTAGTAGTTGTAGCTATGGCTGGGATGCAGGATGTGATGCTAAGCATTCATTTAGTTGTGCTGTGTCTCCCAAAAGTGGTCCCCTGATAAGAAAGTGGACCGAAACCATACTTCTGCACTTAAAACCCACCACTCCGGGATTGCTGCCTGTAAAGCATGACCTCACATGAGCTCTCCCCGCCCGGCACACATGAGGTTGTGTACAGGACCAAGCGCGGCACCGCAGCCTTACCTTGTCCGTGAGCGCGACCTGGCAGCCGGGCTGGGCCAAGAGGAGCCGGACGATGTCGGTGTTGCCCTGCCTGCAGGCCACCATCAGGGCCGTCCTCCCCTCCTCGTCCTGCAGGTTGACGTCGGCCTGGCAGGAGAGGAGGGCTCGCACCATGTCGTCCCGCTCATGGCTGACCCCCAGCATCAGGGCGGTCTGGCCTCCCTGCAACCGCAGAGGGAAAGGCTGAACACCCCTTACCCACCACCTCCTACTGTCCTGCTCATTCAGACTGTTTATATATAATTATAATAATAATAATAATGATTAACGTCATTATTGCGCATATATATATATGTGATTGCATATTATTATTGCATGGCATATATATAAAAATAATTGATATTACTGCATATTGCCTATTATTATTAAATATCACTGGGGATATTTTGTAAGAAATCACTTTGCTCACTTGCACCACAGCCTTTGCAGCGGTGTAGCTAAAACCTCCCCGCTCTCAGCTGCTCCCAAATACAGGTTTGCCCTGACACTCCTGGGTCTAGATTAACTTAGTCTATTTTACTTAGGTCTAGCTGTTTGGAAGAAGAGTTGGATGAGGGCACTCTGAGTCCAAAATGTGTCACTGATGAGCAACTGCCTGTCAGCAAACCTGGCCCAGATCCCCTACCCCAGGGTCCATCCCACACTGCTCGTCCCTGGTGCCACTTTTCAAACTTTAATTTTTAGCTCAGTAAAATTGTTTTGCAAAATTTTCAGTCTTCCTTTTCCTCCTTGATCTTATCCAGCTCTTGTGTTCCTTCTTCATAAGGAGCTGGCGCCTGGCCACACTGCAATTTATCTGAGGTTGCTTTTGTAAATTTTGGGAAACAGCAACTCCAACCCAAGGTCTCCTGCTGCATCTCAGCCTGGTGCTGCACATGCAGTGAAAGGAACTCACAGAATCACAGAATCGTCTAGGATGGAAAAGACCTTGAAGATCATCCAGTCCAACCATTAACTTAACACTGACCGTTCCCAACTCCCCCAGATCCCTCAGCGCTGGCTCAGCCCGACTCTTCAACCCCTCCAGGGATGAGGACTCCCCACCTGCCCTGGGCAGCCCATTCCAACGCCCAACAGCCCCTTCTGCAAAGAAATCCTTCCTAATATCTAGTGCAAAACACAAATTATATCCCCAAACCCAGCTCTCTTTGGGGACACAATGGTGAGGAAGCTCATTCCCTTTTGCTCAGCCACAGCCTGAACTGTCATCACACCACAACAGTCATAAATAGGAGGCTACAAGCTCAGCAGGATTCATTTTGCAGATACTTTCGTCCAGAGCCGTGGCATGACCCCACACGGGGCCACGTTCGGTTTTCAAGGAACCAGCAGAACTGTGGGGACGCACCTGGGCAGCTCGCAGGTTGACATCCCCCTCCTTCAGCAGCTTCATCACCACCTCCATGTCCTCGCCTGTCTCGGCGGCCGCCAGTGGCGTGAGCATCACCGCCGTGTAGCCGGCGCGGTTCTGCAGGTCCAGGCGGCACACGCCTGCCGCGAGATGCACCATGCGGGGCAAGGATTGGATCGGCCGGAGGGAAAGGGAAGCAAAGAGGGAGTCAGAAAATGTCAGACATATTCCCAGAAACAGGAGTTTCCATCATTATACACAATCGAGATTTATCCGTGTTACGTATCTAGTCCTGTGAGTGCAGCATTAAACGGCCCTTGGTGCTACGCATTGCTACAGTTAATTATGATTGCTGAGGTCAACTCAATTAACTTTGAAGACCATAATCAAAAAAAAAAAAAAAAGGAGGGGGGATGACAGGGCGATTAATGCCTTGGGCACACACCCACTGTGGAGCTGTGGGCTGTTTTCTTTGACTCCTGCAGCAAGGGAACAGCAGAAAGATGCCCGTCACTGAACGGGCAGTGTAACTCCATCCCAGCCCCGTTTCACTCACTTTTCACCTCAAAGAGCCTATTTCCAACTGCACCCCGAGGAACAAGCTGTGTCTAAGGGGCGAGGGCTCGGGTCCAGCCTTGCCCTGGGGACCCAGCAGCCTTGGGCACTCAGCCACAGAAGGGGACAAACCACTGCGGCTCCCTGTGCAGCAACAATCGGGTTATAGATGTGTATGATAATCTGCCATTTCCCTAACATTTAACAGATTGTCTGGCCCACGAGAAAAGACCAAAGTCCCTTTATTCTTTTGGAGCACGCCTGCATTTTTCCCCTGTACAAGCTCAGCTGAGGTTTTTTGTTTTTTTTTTCTTTGCAACACTAGCTGAAAGTTCAGTAGTTTAACATGGGAGTTTTTCTGAGGCACTGGGGGGTTTGTTACACTCTCAGGCATCTGATCCTCCTGCTCCAAGCCATGATGTGGCATTTGCTGCTACAAGAAGCTTGGGGACCCACCACATTGCCCCTGGACTGAGGCCAGGACAGACACCCCTTGGCCACAGGGACTCTGAGCCATCCCCAAAGTCAGATTGCGGAGCCCTCAAGATGCATCAGGGCCCTGAGGGCACAAATGAGCCTTACTGTCCCTGAGGAGCCCTGCCCATACCCACGGGCCCAGGGCCAGGCTATGGGGGAGGATACTGGCCTTCAGATCAACCATGGGGTGGACCTTGGCACCATGCTTGTCCCTTGGACGGACCTTGCCCCCACATTTGTCTCCTGGATGGACCTTGGCCCCATGTTTGTCTACTGGATGGCTCCCTTGCACGTAGGTTGTAGTTGGTCGCCAGCCCCCACCCCTGTCCCATCTCCTTCTGCTCCTGACTGAACTCCCTGGGAGGACCCTGGACCTCATTCACTGTTTGCCACCTCTGGGACTGTTTATGGATGCCCATGGTCATCCCCCGTGGGAACATGCCTCATTGGCAAAAGTGACCTAAAGTAACTTCCACACCCACACCCAACAAAAGCCATGGCTGAGCAGAGCAGCTGTTCCTACCTGTGTCTAGCAGGAGCTTTGCAATCTGGAAGTTGGAGTGGGAAATGCTGTAGTGAAGAGCCGTGTTGCCGTTCCTGTCAGCCAGGTTCACCACCATCTCCAGGAGCTGGGGCTGGATGGCCCCCAGCGCCTTGAGATACGCTGCGACCACCTCCGGGCTGGAAGACTTGCGGCTCGACACCCGGAACCACTCCTGGCAGACGGTGCTCAGGACATGCTGCTGCAAACACCAAGGTCCCCCCGTTATTCCCGGGCCGTCATCCTGCAAACCAGCTGCTGCCCTGGCTCCTCACCCCATGCCACTTCGTCCTGTGCTCTGGCATCACCCAGTCGGTATTTAGCTTGTGGTTTTTGGGATTACTGCTGTAACTTAAGGGGGAAAGGAATTTCCTGTGGTAGCTTGAATGAGTAAGCTCAGAAAGCCTTCATCTTTTTTTTCTTTTTTTTTTTTTTTTCCTTTTCCTTTCTTTTTGGCTATTCTAAAACTGACTCAGGTCATCTCGTCCCCCTCTCCTCACAGTGCTGTTCATGGCATGGTAGGGCATGGCCTGCAACGTGCCGTCAGGATAATCTTATCCATTAAACATAACAGAGAACAGGAACCACGTCTGAAATGAGACTGAGAAATATCTGTACCAGATGCTTGTCGCTTGTGGTCCCGATTTCTGAGAGGTGCTTGCTGAGTAGCTGGCAGTCGGCAAGGAAATCTTCAGAGGGTTTGCATCTAAAGGGAAAATGCTTTTGTAAATCCATCATGGGACAGAACTTGCAGGAGGTATTGAGTAGGAAGGAGAACATGCAGTTTAGATCAGAATGCATTAAACACTTATTCAAGTGCTTAACTTTATGGACATAAGTTGTCCCATTGACTTGACACAGATTTTAGGTACAAAGTTAAGCACTTAGATAATTTTTTAAGTCCAGAGTCCCTTATGTGTAGGATCAGCTTCATCTGTTACAAGAATCCTTAAAGTAGGAAAAAAAAAATCTTATTTCTGAATCTGCAAAGAACTTTACTGAGAAACTTTACATGTGAGGGGAGAAATGAGCTAATTCTCACCTAATATGACTCACTGTCTTTTCCACAGTCAAGTGTAGGGCCTGAATCAATCCCCATTGGATTCTGTAGTAACTCAAAAAATATTTAGCTCTTTAAAGCCTTTTCCCATGTCTACAGAGGTCAGCAGTTGTCTCTCCACCAAGCAGATGAAGGCCCAACCCCAGCCCTGTAGGAGTGACTGAATGAAGCACCGTGCATCCTGTGGCTGCAGAAAAAAAAATGGACAGCAGGATCCCTGCCTGGTTTTCTGGTTACCTGTCAGCCTCGTGCTGCGTGCAAGCCGCTGCTTCTGCTGACGGCTCCTGCAGGTCATCGTCCTGACATGTCTCCCGCGAGGAGGTCCCCAGTGAAGCCCCCTCGCTTTCACTTCTAGCTTCCTCCTGCGTGGACTCCAAATCATGGGCTGGCGTTTCCGTCTCGCTCTCTGCGTCCCCGTCGGATGGGCTGTCTTCACAACTTGTGTCTTCGCTTGAAGTCGTTTCGTAGCTATTTGAGGACACCACATGTTATTCACTCCTTCCCCATCCGCAACCACAGGGCTTGACCAAGACTCATGGAAGACACCCACTGACTCCAATGGGCCTTGGATGAAGCCCAGAGTGATACACAAGTTAAAAGGTTAGAGCCACAGCCAAACTTGGGGTTAGTCTTTTTTTTTTTTTTTGGCTTCTTAAGCCAGCAGGAGAGTGACAGAAGCAGTTAATTAGCAGCAGGCAAGGTTACTTCAGGGACTACTCAGTTGGTTGGGAGGGATGTCCATCGCACAAGCCCCAGCGTGGCCAGGCAAGGGCTGTGTGCTGCCTCCCTGCTGGGAGCTGCCGGCACGCTGACAGGGAGCCGCAAGAAACACAGACCCTGTGGCAAGGTGGGACAGGCAGCACGTCGACAACCTTGAGGAACACTAGGCAAAAAATATGTCTGCAGCTCCAGCACGGACCTGAGTCTACCATTCCAGCAGCCCTGCTAGAGATACCTCTCTTCTGGTTGTCCAAAAGTATTAATAACAGTAATATCTTCCATGAGACAAAACATTTCACGCTGAGAGATCCCAAAAATTTTCACAAACTAGTGGAGATTCCTCTACTTGCTACAAATTGTACTCATTTCAATGACTGTTGGTAGAAGTAGCTCTACACAACAAGAGTAACACCTGATGAACCCAACAGCAGTAGCCATCGAGCTGGGAAGTCGGAGAAGTGAATATGTCAGCAGAAACCCGCACCCAAACTTGCACACATAGCTGTTTGCACAGCGAAGGGACTGTGAAACGTGCCCTGCCTTCTCATGCCAGCACACGTACTCCTTGGTAGAGAAGTGCCAGTGTTGCTCTTAGAGATGTATCTACGGCACACGTTGTTGTATCTAGTTAGTTCCAAGGCCAAAGAGTGTTAGATATTGGATACGCAGGGAACTGGGTGTTGGAGGACAACCTAAAATATGGGTCTCCTTCACCACGATGTAATTACTTATTCACTGAAATCGTCTTTTCTCAGTCCCTGAATCAACTTTAGTTGGGTGTCACTGAAGCGTGGAGGCAGGTTAGTGGCAGTGTGCCCACCCAGGCAATGCTGACCTCCTCCAAAACCCACCAAAGTTAGCGGGAATCTTCCCGTGGAGCCAACTGGGTTTTGGACGAAGCCCCACAAGATGGGTGTGCAGAGAGTGCCAGTTCCCAGGGTGTCCCTCGCTGCTCTGAAAACATCTTTTCTACAGGGTTACTTACAGGTTATCAGTGCTGGATTAAAGAAGGGAGAAAAGAGGCTCCATTTCAAATGGCCTTTTCATCAAGAGGTTTAGAGGGGGGAAAAAAAAGAATGACTTCTTCAGCCATACAGAGGACATCACATGTTAAAAGGCAGTTTTATCTTCTGAATGGATGCTTACCCACCATTTACCCCAACAAACTGAAGATTCTTTTTGGTCCCATTGCCTCCTGCATGGAAACCATAACCTTTCTTTTTCATGATAGATTTAAGACTTGTGGTTGGAGAGGTTTCTAGTAAAATACAAAATCATAGATTAATTAAGCAGATGTGCCATAATTATCAATTATTATTCCCAACCTCTAGCAACAAACTACAAATTGTAACTGTAAGCATCTTACTTCATCTTAGGTGATTCTTTTTCTTGCAAAACTACTGATGCACCTGGCCACAACCTGACCCTGCCCTTCCACATTTACAAAACGGGTCTCAAAGGTCTCCAAGTGACTGGGAATATAAAGGAAGTGACTGGGAATTATATATGTGTCCTATGAATATACATAGTGTTCACTTCTGTAATAATGTTCTCTTCTTATTTTTTCATTAGTAAAGTATTGGAAATCTCCTACATAGATCTTCTATAATACTACATGGATGAGTCTTTCCATCGGATTTTGAACAGTCTCACCATGTATTGCTTATAAGTAATAGGTCACTTATCTATTTGCAAGGCCCGCCCCCCCCACCGACAGTGAACAGGCAGCCTTCAGTTTTGGATTCTCATCTTCATATAAGCTAAAATTATTTTGGATGAACAGCTGTGAGTGGGGACAGGTCTTTTCCCAGCCTAGTTGCTCACTTAGCTTGAATTGGTTTTGGTTCTGGTGAACTCCATAGTGATTTACCCCAGATGAGCATGTGTCCCATATTCTTGCAAATTGAGATGTCCAATCCAATTAATAAATACGGATACTGGATGGAATAGCCACAACTTAGCCACACACGGCTACTTTTGGAAGCTGATGCTGTGTATAACTAAGCCACAGCTTTATCAGCTCCTACATGGTTTTGTTTCCTTTTTTTTAATTTAAGATCACATAGATTATGATGTGCAGAGACTTGCTTTTCTCATACGTATTTAGGAGGGACTATTTCTGATCTGACTTGTACTAATTATACCACTGTATCACCCCTGCTTAACACTTGAATAAATGGGAAGAGATTTGGCCCGGATACGCTGAAACCTATGCCAATATTATTTACCCAACTGTTGATAGTGTGTGTTCGAATTCTCCTTATCCACGGGCCCTTGTGTAGAGTAGGCAGACAGCAACGAGTTTAAGGAATTAACTAATTGGTTCTGAATGGAGCTGAGCTTAGAGGCCGGCTGCTTAATAGCGCTGGCTAACTCGGGATAGCCATGTTCCAAACACAGCCACTGCTCCTGGAGAAGCTCCTGGATTTTTTTTACATATTGGCCGATGGGGTCAACAGCAGGGAGATCCTCGTGGTCAGGGGGACCTTCCTCTTCCAGCCCATCTTGAGCTTTATCTTCACCAAAGCCTGCCTCGTTTTCACCCGCCTTTGAGCCAATTCTCATTCCTCGATAGCTTTCTGCAGTCACCGCGTGAGCAGCGAGACTCTGGGTGTCATAGTTATTCCTGTGATTTTGATTGTCATCGCTGAGGTGCTCGTCAATCTTCAGCTGGGTGAAGCATGGTGCGTGAAGTCCAGCCTCCATGTTTGCTTCACCAAAATGTCCCAGTCCCTCTCCACTGACACCGGTGTGAGCATCTGCCAGTCCCTGGTCTCTCCGAGCACTCAGCTCCATCGCCTGTGCGTTCACATCGTCTGCTCTCCAGACACTGCATCCTACGGATTTGGTGGGGATTGGGATATTTACGTTGATGCCTTTATCGTGGGCTTGCCTGGCCCCGGTGACCTGCGAGAGGTCGGTGTTCACCGCAGCATCGTAGCACTGCAAAGCCCCGCCGCTGCGCCTGGACGGCAACTTGGCCTCTTCGGTGTTTTCCTGACACAGCTTCTCTTCCAGCTGAGCTTTGGAGCTGGCCAGTAACTTAATGCTTTTCTCCTTCTCCTTGATCTCATGATCCTGCTGCTCCAGCACTGCCCTGATCTGCTCGAGCTCTTCCTTCTTCTTGCCCAGCTGCTCCTCCAGAGCAGCGATCTGCTGCTTCAGCGCAGCAACCCCGCCAGGCTCTCCAGCATCACGAGGCTGAGGACCACAGCTCTCCTTGCTCTCTCCAGCCTGGACACTTGCCTCCTCAGCTTTCTTCAGCACGTTCACAGCGATTTCACTCACACTTAACTCCCTTTCCCCAGGGTTCGTGTTCTCCTCTGCAAGCCGGAGGGCAGCTGGCGAGGCTGGTTCACCCCCGGCCAAGGCAGAGTGACCACTGGCATCAGCAGCATCACCCTCCTCGCCTCTGCTCTCCACCACCACCTGCAGCTGCAGCTGCTGGCTCTGCCGCGGCGGCTGCATCTGCACCAGCCCTGGGCCACCTCCGCTGGGATGTTCCTTCTGTCCCAAGGATACATCTTGCTCCAAGCTCATCCCCCGAGGGGGAAGATTTAACACGTTGTCAGAGCCGGGCGAACGTGGCACGGGGCGAAACGTGTTTTCGGAGCCACTCTGATCGTGGCCATGCTGGGGAGGTGGCCGGAGGGGCGAGGGCACCCTCCCGTCCCCGGGCGGGGGCTGGCCGGGCGGCAGGGCAGCGGGCATGCTGGAAGCTCGCAGCAGCTGCGGCCGCCCCCGGAGCTCACCCTCCTGCCGCCCCAGCTCCGCCTGCCGCCACGTCTCCGCCAGAAGTGCTTTTCTCCGGTAACTCGGCTCATCGGCCATGGGAAAGGGAGACTCGCTGGGCAGGAGGGGCCAGGGGGGCTCCTCTGCCCCCAGAGATGCCTTTCGCTGGGGGAAGGAGCAGGTCGCCGTCCAGCTCTTGCTGGGAGCAGCCGTGCACCCCCGGGAGCCGTTCTCGGGTAGGCTGAAGTTTCGGGGCAGGGTGCTGAATTTTGGTTGCTTGGCTTTCCGATGGATGTGAACCCTTCTGATGGTGTTTCCTTTCTCGATGTCATCTACGTACTTCAGGAAGTCCAAGTCCAAGTGAAAGCCGTACGGCGTCTCCACGGAGTAGGGGAGGCTGCGGGGCTGCTCCCTCTCCCTGTTGGGTTTGGGTGACTGGCCATCTGCTGAAACAACCCAAAAAAAGAGACAATTGAATTTCGAAGACAACAAAGCAATTAACGAAAAATACATTTAGAGCGAGGGCAAACGCTATTGCTTTTTTCATCTCAGTTTCAGGCAGACGGTGGGAGATGCAGATCCTCATCATTGAGGCTCATGGTGAAGCTGCACAGACACAGTAACACATGCAAAGGTCCAATCTGGTTTTCCAGAGGTGAATCAGGTAATTGTTGCACTGAGGAAGCTGAAAGTTTGCTGAAATCATGGCTCTAATTGGCAATTAAGCAAACAGCAGGTTTTGCAGGCAGAGCTACGCGTCTCCATAAGTATAAAAAGCTGCCCGATGTACAATAAATCCAGCTCAGAAACAGAAGGTGAAACCAGTCTGTGACAACTACATTTTTCAAAGCTTTTGGTTTGGTTTTAACTTTTCAGGGGCCTAAGTAGTGCTGTGCACGCCAAGCAAGAAAATCATTGCATCATTTCATCAGAAAACAGCAGGTCACAAATTATGGCTTGAAAATGATGAATACAGCAACGGGCAGAGGCCGGACCCAGACAGCACCAGCCGGGGCTGCTTCACACAGCCACATCCATGCAAAACACGTGCCTCCCAAGGTGACCGGCTGCAGGGCACCGAGAACAGCTTTTAATTGAGGAAAATTGCCACGAAATGCGTGACGGTGTGTTTGCCCACCCAGCCATCGCAGGCAAATGGCTCCAGCAGCACAGCCCGAGGCTCCCGGTTTAATACAACTTCATAGATTCAGATCCAGCCTGCAGAAATTCAGAGCCTCCCCCCTGCCCCCATTTTGGGCTTGAGGGTCTAAATAGTTAAACCCCTGCATCGTTGCTTGTTTTTCTTTATGCAGCGAGTCCCTGAAACCACAGTGGTTTGGGCTGCTTTGCGCCTCGGAGCAAACAAGCCGTGCTCTGTGAGGACAAGGAGGAGCAGCTTGACGAGGAGAAAGCAGGTTTCATGGCTGCTCCCTTTGCCTCCATCCCGGTGCAGCAGCCACCTTTCTGATGGGAAGCAGCACGTGAAAGCCAGAGAGACGACAGAGGGAAAACCTGACGTAGGGTAACACGGCTCAAGAGCAAAGCCCGGTCGGTGGGAGCAGGGGGATCTGTCCTGCCTATGGGCCGCAGAGGACGGGAGGACAAATACGGGCTGAACTCAGAGCTGTCACCATGTTTTTGTTGTGGTTTAGGAAGTCTGCATAATACATGAATGATGCGTTTTTCCTCTGCTGGCCCTACAGAAAACAGGTTATTTACAGTATATCTGGTAAGGAAATTATTTCAGGGGTTGGTTGGGGTTTTTTTTCCAAGAAACAAATGAGCAACGAACATCCCATAGCCTCCATACCATCTGTCTTCTCCATGGTGTGGTCTAAGCAGGCCGTCAGTTAAACATCCTCTGACAAGCTAGGGCAGATGAGCTGCTTCACCCTTGAAAAAAAGAAACAGATACTTTTAATTTAAAAAAAAGCTCAGTCATTTGAACTTAATCTCCCCTTAAAGCCTTACACCTCTTCACAGGCCACCCCCCCATATTCTGCAGCCCGACTGTGTCTGCTAAGCACTTTCAAGCTGCTTAAATCAATAGCTCCTTAACAACTCATGCTTCAGAGACACATCCCAGGTAGCTGGTTCTTATAAAACATCCCCTGCATTACAGATGGTTTTGACTGCAAATGAGGAAAGACAGACACTGAGGATAACTTCTGTTGGGCTTGAGATAGATGGCCCAAGGGACTCTTCACTGACTCCTGTAAATGGGATATATCAAACATAACGTAACATCTCTGAAAGCAGCAAGAGATGGAAACTATAGACAGAAATGACTGGTTTGTCACTTTTTTTTTTTTAATGAATAGTAACCAAAGATTAATAATTTATGTTAAATGTTATTCAAACAAGACCCATTATTTCAAAGTAAGTCCATGCTGTTATAAACAACCTTCACCAAATTGTGCTAAAATACAAACTGCTTTCATATCAGGGAAGATCTTCTGGTGGAGATCTACCACAGCCTATATCATGAACTTCACATCCAGCCTGGCCTGCACTGCCCTCCAGCTCTCTCCAATCATGTGGATGTGGGCGAGACCCTCCTGGAGCGCGAGAGATTAAGGCTGGGGACAGCCAAGAAAGGTCCTGGGTGAAGCTTCTCTCCTCCACGCCCTTTAGAAAAATGCAGGGAACAGGCAGCCAAGGTGAAGGAGGTTGAGGCAGTTGGAGGAGGCTTCCTGACTTGCATGAGAAGGGCAACAATTCTCATATTGAGAAGGTCTGTCTTTTTAATTCCTACTACAGGGGAAAAAAAAATGGGGGTTTCTTGGAGAGCACGTCACTTGTTTAGGATTGGTTCCTGGTCCCACAGCAGCTTGGAAGACCATCCCTGCTTCTCCAGCACATCCCTCAGCTATGCAAGATTTTCAGGGGTAGGACCAAGGAGCACAAAGCCTACACTGAGCCAGCCCCAGGCACCTGGGGACGTGACCAGGACTATTTATTCCACAATCCAGCTCACATTCATCTCACTGATCAAATTAACAGAGAACTGCTTTCCTGCGTATAGATTTTGCCTAAGTGAAGGGTTTAGCACTTGACCAAGCTTCCAGAGCTCACTACCAACAGACTCCAGCCAACCTTTACCCCTCTCTTCACCTGGCACCATACTTATACAGCACCACCAGTCCTGTTCACCTTTCTATTTTTTCTCCTGCAGCATCCACCAGCAGAACCATCTCTGGAGACCTCTGGCTCATTCACCATCTCAAGAGAAGCTCCATCTTGGTCTTCTCCACTCTGCAGTTTCTAAATTCTCTTTTTCTCAGGCAATTATTTTTGCATTGTACAATTCATCTTTTTTCTTGTAGCACTGGCAAGGTAACTGGATATGCAGCACAGATAAGGATATACAGAGTATAGCAGTTTTGCTGTTATTCTCTTCTAGAAGCACTGACATGATGTGTTTTAGCTACAACAAAGACTGTCAGGAAAACAAAGCCAATTCCAGCTGTATCATTATTGTAGGACAGATACCTTAAAAGACCAAAACCTTTTAAAGAAACAATTAGTTCTGTCATTCAGGTAGACAAGTTTATTGTCAGTTTATAGCCCTGATGGAAAGTTTGGAGGGTCTCGACCCAAGAACATCAAAACTCTCAAAAGTGCCTCCAGGGTTGGTACCACCTTGATGCTCGTGCGGCCGGACGGCTGATGCCCGCACGCCATGTGAGCTGCTGAAACACCTTGACCAGCGGCCTCCTGACGTGCTCTCCAATTAACTGCACTCTATAAAGGGAAATTTCTTCTGTCTCCTCCTGCCAATAAACAGCATGTGCCAAAGCGAACACTAACCTCTTTCTCAAAAATTTTTTTTTTTAATTTTCTGGATTACAGTCAATTACGGAGCACTTACAGATCCCAGCTACAGTCCAACCAGCTACACTTCATTCTTCTAGGTCATATATTTATAAGAGGGGGAAAAGCCAGTGAATACGATGCTTTTTAATATCTAGATAATTACATCTAATTGGTTCATTTATGAGCTGGCTGGGTCCCAACTCTGCAGCCCAAGTTGATACTAAGACTTTTCTCTTTTGTCCAATCTACTTCAAGATCGCCTCGTAAAAGGATGCTGAATGTACCCTACCAGCTTGCTGATGTTCTCCTGTCCCCCCCGCAAGCATCTCAGGTGCCAGGTGGATGGCTTTGAGCCAAGAACTGTGGCTCCTTGGACCCTACAGTTGCTTTCCAATGCCCGTCCCTAATAAAAATAAGATTAAACCCTAAGTAATCAGCCAGACTCAGCATACCCATACGACCAGTGTCTGGCCCACAATTTGGGGCAAGGCAGTGCTTTTAGGTGGGTCTCCATCCTGCTACCACCTGTTACACTGACCCTCTGTTGGGTTCTATATTTGATGAGTTTTCCTCTGTTGAATAACATTGAAGAACACTTATTTTCCTCTCCAGGCAGGCGACATCACCACGTGCACAGCATCACTGATTTTTACCTTTATGACACAGAAAGGCTTTGGGAAGATTAATCCAGATTTGAACTACGTTGCTTTTCTCAAGGCAGAAATAAATATACACAGAAATGGAAATCAAGAAGCCAAATATGTGAGAAGGCAACAGCACAGAGTGAAGTGGTTTTATTCCTTGGGGCAGCCCATTTGCAGGGACAATGTACTGTCTTTTTAACTAGCCCTGCCTCAAACACTGGCTCTTTACTGTCACATTTAACCCCTCTTTTACTCTGTCCCACTTGCCAGGCAACATAAGTGCCCGCCTGCTCCCCCATCCACCACAGCCAATAGAAAGGAAAGCACCATTACACCCCAGAAGATTTAAAGAACAAATTAACGACAAAGACAAATATATATGAATTTCATTCTCCCAAAGAATTTTGCTAGCAATTTTAAATTGGAAACATTTAACCTTGTGCCTATAAATAAGAAGATAATTCATCCCTGCTGAGCAGCATGTTAGCACAGTCTCATTAGCTGTAACACAACATTTTTTTGAGCTCTGCCTGTCGTGTTCTCCTGCACTGCAGCAATGGCTTTAGCACTTCATTGTGAAAAGAGAAACTATCATCATAAAAGCATCTTGTTGTGTTACCTTCTCAAGATCCCACCTACAAGCCCATCGGGGAACAGAAGCACTTGCCCCCCTTGAAAGCATCTTTTCCCGTGCCAAGAGTCAGCAGCGAAGGGTTCGGAGCAGCAAACATGTCTTTTACAGTTGTTAAAAAGTTGGTCAGCTGAGCAGTGACCTTGCTCAGAAAGCAAATACAAGGTTTTTTTTTTTTACAAAAAAAAAAAGCAACACATTCATTTTCTAACAAAGCAGCCCATCGCTCTCGTATGACCTTTCCGAGGACAGTTCAAGCCCGCTGTATGTAATGAGTTACTTTTCACAGCATAGTTATCTCTTCCATAAAACACAAAACGCTAAGCGCTGCTTAGGCTGTCACCGGGCTGCCTCCCCTATCAGGACCGATTATTGAAAAGACAGTCAATTATTAACGACACGGTTCTCATTATACCTGATGCTGCAGGCTGCAGCCGGAGCTCGCCCTCCGCATGCTGCACCCTCCCAGGCTGAAGGCATTAGTTATTCTGCTGAGCACCTCTCCCGAGGAAACGCAAGCGGCCGCCGCGATTAAAAGGCGGCATCTGTAGTAGGAGCCGCAGAAGGTCTCGACGTCCGGAATTAATCCTGCCGAAGCCCCGTTCCCACGCGCGGAGCAGAAGCAGCCCCTCGGCCCTTTACCCTTCTCCCCGCAGCTGTGGTCCCTCACGTCACGCCCATCCACCCGCTGTCCCCAGGAGATGCTGGCCAGGCCGGGGGACGGCGGGAAGGCAGCTGTGCGTAACGGCGGCACGGGCGGGGGATGCCGGACCCTCCGTGCCGAGCTCTGGCCGCTGCGAGGAGGGATGTGCAGCCCCCAGGCTCCTGTGGGTGCCAGTGGGACTCTCCAGAGAAAATGCTCCAGCCTTTCGCAGTGGCGTTATCAATGCAAACTTCAAACTGCAGGCAGGGGACAGCTCGCAGAGCAGACACGGGGTGATTTTTGGGCAGAGTATTCGTGGCATCAGGCGTGGTGATGGGCAGAGCACCCATCCCAAGCCCCTCCACTGGCATTCCTGTCAGGCATCCCGGATGGCTGCACCCCCAGGCTGACACCAGGAGAAATAAAACCTTCAGTCTCTGCACTGAACTTTTAACAACTTCAGGCTTGCAAAGGCAGACGGGTTCAGACGCTGCCTGGCTCCCTGCAGCCGGGCTGTGAACCTCTTCCAGGGCTGGGAAAAAAAAAAAAAAATCCTGAAAAGCAGAGGCATCCCACTGGGAGCCAGGGGCTCTGTTGGGGGCTTTCACCAAGGACTCGCATCACGGAGCAGCGCCAGCACCTTCCCCATCACTTAACCAGCAGCGCAACCAAAATGCTCGTGTTAGCAAGAAAAACCACATTTCATGACTCTCTGTCTGAAGAACAGAGCTGCTGGCACTCCTGCAGGCTCACTGCGCTCGGGCAACGACCGTATGTAACTTTAACAGATTAAGTTCGAAGAAAAGCAAAAAGTTTTGCCTTTGCAAGAAGCGATAATAGCCTGGACACGGAGAGAAACAGCAGCAGTTTGTCCTCGCTAGCGCTACCCAAGGCACGGATGGGTTAACTTCTTAGCCGAGGCATGAAAAATAACCCCCTGATTTCAGCAGCCGGTTAAATGCCGCCTTTCCCACGCGGCTCCAGCATCCCACACCACGCAGGGCTGTGACTCCATGTTGACAGCTTTCTGCTTTCACAAGCAATTACTGAGCTCAGGGTTCAAAACGAATTTAAGAGCACGTTGGCTTATTCAATATTTACTCCAAATATTTTCTGTCACATTCTTCTGGTTTAGTTACGCTTGTGCGTCTTTCCTGAGCACGTTCGTAGGGGTTTGTTGCTTGTGTTCTCTATACAAAGCAGCACGACAGAAAAATATACATACTTCTATATGGCACTGATTTTAAAGTAAGCCTGAAAGAATTGTTTAGTTTTCCCACTGGGAAGACCCAGCAGGAAGCCTTTATTTGGAGCATTTCCATATTGCAATTACACACATCAGACCTACAGTTTTTCCCAGATTTAATCCCAACGGGCCTGAAGAAGGTTTTCTTCAGGTCTGTGTCCCCTTAAATAAGATTTTAACCAGAAGCTATGAATGAAGCCAAAACATGCTAATTAATTAATTATGGGTTGGTGCCTGCTGGATTTATGACTGGCTTTTGATAGCTTCGCCCAGCAGAACGGGTGCAGGGTGGGACACGGGGAAGTGTTTCACCTGGGCACCACCCCAGATCGTCCCACAAGCGTGAGGATCGAGGTCATGGCCTAAAATTGCTGCTGCTTTACGTTATAGACCAGCTGTCAGGGGGGATTTTGCGCTGCAGGCTGCTCCCCTGCATGACAGGAGACAGCCAGCCACGAAATGGCTTGAAATGGTCCCTGCCCATCCCTGCCATGGCCACCGCTGCCTTCTTGGGTGCTCGCAGGGCTGAGGGACAAAGCTGCTGCTCTCCTTCCCTTCCCTAAGCAAAATAACTGCAGGAGGGCAGGTTTGGGCTTCAGCTGCTGCTCCTCTCCACTGCACAGACCTGCACGGACAGAGCTTGCCCTCGGTACCCAAAGGGTTACACCCAAACCTGCTCCATCTAGGCGGTCTGCTGGATTGCACAACCACCAGCCCAGCTATTATTGCAAGTGGACATACCAGGAATAAATATAGCCTCTCGGGGAATATTTGTTGTACAGATTTTTCAATTCTGTTTTCACTGTAAAGGAAGAAAAATAACCCATTTCCAGTCTGCTGGGGACATCCACACGGGTGGGATCTCCATGGTACGGTGGTGGGCTGTGATCAGCTGCTGCCTGGCACAGGCACGGGAAGGAGTTTCCTTCCAGAAGGAAAAAAAAAAAAGTTTGAAAAGAAGATTGAAGTTTGTGGGATTAAATAAATAAATAAGTAAATAAAAGCACTTTAAAATCCTGGTTTTCATGGCAAGAAGTTGTCATGAGGTTCTCCAAAGTGAGAGCAAACAGGGTTTCTGCTGCAAGAGATTTGCATCCTGGGAGCCCATCGGTCGCCTTCCTGGGTGCATTTGGCATCGTGCAACCATTGCTGCCAGCGGCCCCACGCCCCACTGCATCCCTCAGACCTGGTGTGGGCTGTGGGCACATGCTGGGCTGGTCCGTGCTGCCTGTCGGGGAGCAGAAAACAGCTGAGCAGACCCCAAAGTGGGGAGACCAGATGATGTTTGAGGTCCAGGGAGCCCGGCGGCTATAAACCCATCAGCATCCAGAAAGGCGAGATGGCAAGCTGGATCCATCCCAGCCCAGCGTGCACCCTGCTCTGGGGTCACCCGACCACACGCGCGGAAGCGGAGCAGGACCAGATTTGGGGATGCAAAACCAGTCGTCGTGTGGGGAGAGTGAAGATGGTGGAGGCGGCAGGTAAAAGGTATGACAGGAAAAGGGATATAAATCTTTAACTGCTCTGAAAACAAAACACCGCGTAGTTCAGACACCTGCTTAAAATTCACCCTCGGTCCCACGGCCAGGGGATGGCTTCGGCATGTGGCTTATGACCATGAGTACCCTGAGTGCTGGCCCCAGCACTGTATCACACCCAAAGCTGAAGCTCCCTTGGCTGCTGCCAGTCTGGGGCTTCTCGAGAGGAGAGCTGGGAGCTGGAAGCCGTTTGTGGGTGCTTGAGAGGGACGAGCTCCCTCTGCAACCCATCAGCTTGTGGCTGCAAGGATAGAAAGGGTCAGCCTGGCCTCTCACCCTCTGCCATCACCCTCTCTGCAAAATCGCACCCACAAAGCAATGGAAGGGGATGGATGGGGCTGGAGCCGGGGGTTGCTCGCATGGAAAACATCCTGGAGGCGTGCGGAGCCTCACTGGTGTTTGAGAGAGCGGCAGGCTCATGAAAAATCTGAGTAATTAACCCAACACCACTTAAAAAAGAAGACAACCGCTTTCAGCGTGTGTGCACCCCTTGGCAGCCGGTGGTACTTAAACAGCCATTTCGGGCATCTTTTCAAATGGCAGTAATAAAGTTGTACTGATTTTATTAAAGCTGCTTATTGCTGTTTAATAAATGCCGTGAGCTTCCTGCCAGCATTTCCATTAGAGACAGGTCAGGACGAGACCTGGACATATCAGATATCCAAACTCTTACCCTCTTTTATAGCTCACCAGGAGAGGAAAACGATCACATTCATCCCCTCTTCTGATAACCTCTTTTCCAACTGACCTTCAACTCATTCCAGCCATAGTCTTATAAAAGCTTTGGTCGATTCTCATTATTTTATCCTGTGCCTTGAAAACGGCGGCGTTTTCCCTAAAGTCTCCTTTCCCTGAGCCAGGCGATCAGAAAAACCACTCGAAGCCATGAATCTAAGGCACTCCACAGTCAGAAGGCAGAAAAAAATCTGCAATGTCTCGTTTCTAATGTTTACTCTTTTTGCCTCAAACCCACAGGTTTTGGGGGGGGGGGGGGGGGGTGGTAGAGAACCAATGAAGCCCTCATTTGGCTTCTGGTCTCTTCCAAGCTGCTGTTTTCCATCTCCTTGATCCTGGGACAGGTCAAGCTTTGCACCCATGTTACTGAATAATTTCCATGTGGTCCAAGAAGCTGGTGGCAACTTTATGACCGCAGGGTTGTCCTTGGCTTGGCCAGAGCTTGGTGCATCCTTGGGGCTCCTGCACTCACCCCACTTGAGATCCCGACCTTTGGCCCAAGCTGGGCTGGAAATGTCTCCGTTTCCTAAGGAAAACCAGGATCCTTTAAATGTTTTCAGAAGGGGGTTGTGGAGGATGAACCATCAAACCAAGGTGGTCCTGCTTGTTGGGAAAGGTTCATCCAGCTTGATCTTGCTTGGCTTCTTGCTGAGACATGAGATGGATGGGGCAGTGCTGGGAAGAAATGTGTTGTGCCATGTCCAATCCCCTTGGTGTTTAATGAGAGATGAAATACTGGAGTTTGTGGAAGCAGAAAAACTCACCCTGACTCACAAACAGGGCTTCCTAAACCCACCAGCCAGAGAAATCACCAAAAAGTGCATTTGTGCAGTTGTGAAGGCTGACTGGTGATCCGGTGTCTGTCCTGTCTGACCCCGGTAAGGGTCCCACCATCAACATGGGTCCTCTTCTGGTGGAAGTGGGACTCTGAGGTGCCTTTAGGAAAGCCCTATTCTCTACATGCCTATTTTTCTCCTCTTCCCTGGGCAACTGCTGCAGTTCCCCCAGAAAGACGGGGCCATTTTATATTGAATTCTGGCGTGAGCCAACAAGACTCAGATTTATCACACTCATGACAGGTTTAAAAGCCTCTTCAAACAGGAACACTTCTTTTTCAGGCCACCTGAAACCACTCTCCACATTTATCGGGACCGCAGAGGGGATGGACCTGCTGCCTTCCTCCTCTGCTGGTGATTTCCACGTGGATATCAAGACCTGGGAGCCCTGCAGCCACGTTTCCCACCCACTCACCCAGGTTATGGGGAAGGTTTAGGAAACGGGGACTTCCCTCCAGTTTTTTGACCAAGTTCAGGCTGCAGGTTGCTGGTGTATTTTCACCTTTCTCACTTGCACTGAGATTCACTTTCAGCCCTGATGCACAGAGGAACTGGCTGCAATGATGAATTTAAGGTAATCACATTTGGAAGATGGGAGTCTCTGCATGTGGGTGGGTTTTTCATGGTATTTCATGTTTCTGACCCCACTAAATTCTCCATTTTGGCAGTATATTATT